TAAATATCTATAGTCTGAGTCTCATTCTTGTAAAATATTTGTAATTATTGGTCTTATAGACCAGAGAAACCTCTAGTAGATTCTTAATACAAATTATTAAATAAAGATAAAGGCAAAACCTCACCTTAAAAAAAAAAAAAAATTATTTTGCAAATTTTAGTACAATATAAATTATATATTGCCTAACTTTAACTTTAGCTTTAATTTAACTCTAATTAAAAGTTTTATTTTTTATAAAGACAAAATTTGGTTGATTTATATATTATAAATTTTATTTATATATAGAATAGTGCTATAGTACTATAGTATTATAATAATATTTATTATTAATTATATAATTTTATAAAAAATATTATAGTTAAAGATTAACTATATTAATTATTTATTTAATTTTTTATTTTTTTTATTTTTATTTTTTTCTATATCTTGAAGATTCTTAGATATTTTAGTTTTTTTATATCTCTCAAAAGCCAGAGTTTTTATTTTGTAAAGATTATTAGTATAATGATTTGGTCTCTAAATATTACTATACTAGTAAGATAACTCATACTTTGTTAAGTTCATCATATGATATTCTGAATTTTTAATACTGTAGTATAGGATTTAAATTCTTTAGATTTGCAGTTTTTTAACTTTACATTAACTCACAAGCTGAATCATCTTTTATATCTAATATTCTTGATTCTATTAATCTTTAAACTAAATTTTTCTTAATATTAGTATTTTTGTTAACAAATTTGATTATTTCTGGCCTCATAGCTATGCTAACAAACTGTAACTTGTTTGAATCTTGTTTTTTTTAATAAAAAATTCTCTAAAAATTTTAGCCAATTGTAGTCTTAGCAAAACTATTTGTTATTCAATAAGACTATAATCTTGCAATTGTGACTTATTTATTTAATTTTAAAATTTAATATAAAATATTTATATTAGGCTATACAAACTTAATAAATTAGTTTTTATAATCTAGTTGGGTTAAATTTTGCAAAATTCTTAAAAAATTTTTTGACTAGATTTACTATCTGGGTGAAGTTTCTTAGAAGTTTATATATGCTTTTTTATATATAAAATTTTTTGAAAATAAAATTAAAGGCTAAATTACCAGGTTATTTTTAAATTATATATTATAAAACTAAAAAATTAACTTTGTATAGCTTTAAATAATAATTTTAAAATAAAATTTTATAAAAATATAATTATAAAAAGTTATAATTTTTATTGTAATAATATTATTATTCTAATTAGTTAATTAAAATATAATATTAGATATAATATAAAGTTAAAATTATATTTTGTTAAAAAATTAATAATTTTATTTATAAAATTATTTTTAGATTTTAGTAAAAAATTTTGGATAAGACTAAACAGTGCCCCATGTACTTTGTGCTCCTTGATTGACCAATAAAATTGCAAGATCAAGTATAACGTGTAGATTAATTTTGTGTAACAAAAACAATTATGCATAATAATTTTGCACAATAAAACAAAGAATTTTTTAAAAAACTAATCATATCTCAAAATTTTGATTATAAAACCTCTTTTGGAGCTCTAACAAAAAAAATTTCTTGCAAAATTTTACTATATGCTATATCTAACTCTAATCTCTAAAGACTGTTTTTATTTTGTTATTATTAAAGAATTTAATTTTTATTTTGATAAATTGTTTGTTACACAAAATTGATGATCAAGGGGGCACAAAGTGCATAGGAGCATTGTTTAGATTTATCCAAAAAATTTTTATTAAATTTTAATAATTAGACTTTTTATTATTGTTTACTTTAATTTTTATTTATAATTTATTATTGTAATTTTATATCTAATCTTATAGAATATAATATATTGTATATTAAAAATACTTTTTAATAATTTTGTTTTTATCAAAATTATTAATTTAAATATTACTAGTTAGTTATTTTTGGGTTAATATCCAATTAAAATACAAATAAATTATATAATAACTATTTTTATATATAAAAACAATTATTTTAAATTAGTTTAATAAAACAAAAACAATAATAAAAGTAAAAAAGATATAAAATATAAAAATAACTATTTAAATCTATTTAAAATACTAGTTAAAAATATTAAAAAATTATTTATAACTTGTTTTTTAACTTATATAACTCTAATTCTAATTCAAGTTATATAAATTAGCTATAATTTTAAACAAAAAAATATTATTAGTCAATAATATTTAGAATTTATTAATTATATTTTAATATTTTAAGATTAATATATAAACTATTAAAACTTTTTATATAAAAAATTTTAAAAAACTATTTAAATAACTTTATAAGATCTATATAATTTTATAAAATTGCTAATTGGTTTTTACCAAGTTTTATAATTATTAAATAGAAATATTCTAAAATATATATATTATATAAATAGCTATAGTTTATTACAAGGCTCCTAATTGTTCACCCATGACTTTTTTTACTGATATTTTTCACGGTTGATATTTTTACAGTGAACTTTCTTTTTTATCTTAAAAGAAAGAATTTTTATTTTGCGTGAAGAAAAGCCGTGAAAGTCTTGTGGAAAATAATAGTTATAAAGCCATGGGTGTTAGGATCCATGTAATAAATCAGTTATTACACGTATTTGTCATCGACATCATGAAACATCCCGAATCAGTCTCGATATCATGCATAATTGTGGTTACGCCACAATACTGCATAATATTTCGACTGATCCGTGATGTTTAACGATACGTATCTATGATAAAATGTGAAATAACTATTACATATTTTATTATTCAAAATTCAAAAATTTGGTAATAAATTTATAATATTTTAAACAATAAGCGGTATATTTGTAAAAAAATATATATACTGTATATCTTCCACTATTAATATTATTGAGGAGTTTTAAATTTGGTTAATAACAGGTCCATTTTAGTAATATCTATACGTAAAAATTCATCAGTTTTTAATATTTAAATTAAAAAAAAACTGCATTACAGTAAATCTAAACTATTATATTACACTTTATGCATAACTGCATTAAACAAATTTTAATTGAACTATTTAGTCTATGCTAAAACAACTATACTTTCTAATTTTTATTAAATAAACAGCATAATCGCCAAATAACTAATTGATATTTACTATAGATACGTATTACGATACTAGTAATTTGTTAACTAATCATCCAAGTTTTGACTGTAATAAGAAAATTAACATCTTCACTGATAAAGTTCTATATAATTAGAAACGTTTTAAAGCAAACATTTGTCAGAAACTCCGCTTAGAGTTAATCGACCCAACTATTTAGATTTAGATTATCGTAAAAATCAATCAGTATTTTAAAAGACAAGATCACCTAACCATTATGATACTATACCTTGTGTAACAATTGATCTTAGATCTTTTAAACATTTCTTTACCAATTACTTATATACGTACGTGCAAACTATGTAATAGAAATTCAACATCGGATCTATCAACAAAACTAGATTTTCTTTATTTGAAAGTATTACTAAAGCTAGGCATAAACTTATTCACAAGAATTTATAACTTTTAAGAACAATAGATCTTCAATAAATCCTAGCGTAGCAATAATGTTTTATATATTCATTTTCATTGATCACACAAGCATAAAGCAGTGAAACACAATGTATTTTCGTTATATAGTGCTGTGGTTTCGCATGAATCTTTTTTTTTTTTGTAAAAAGATATCACAACTATCTTTAAATCTAATCAACTCCATCCGTAAATCACTTTCCTATAAGAACTAACGATCTAATGTCAATATATATTGTTTCAACTCTGTCTCGTAATCTTGAAAATGAGTATACATTACATGTTTTTTCAAATCTGGCTTTGTTGTAAATGACATGTTACACAGATCCCAATTGCAAAATACTTCCTCTTCTTGAGTATAATTGCTTGGTATTACAAGCGCTTTAGATCCTAAATTGGCAGGGTTTGATGCTCCCACATTCGTTTTAGCCGCAATTTTTCTAGAAACAGCTGATGTACCATTTTTGTCAGTTGTCACTGACGGTTTGGAAATTTTGGTGGTAGTCGCAACGGCTTTAGATTTAGGGACAATAACATTTGTTGACGTGATAACATTCGCTTCAATATTATTCTTGGTTTTTGTGGAATTTCTGACTGTGGTAGTGTCGGTCACAGACTCTACAGTCTCCACACCTTTTACGCCATTAGAAGTGTTGTTATCCGAATTAGAAAGAGAATTATTCGCCTGTACATTTATATTGTTGCTTTTTGCAGTATTGTTCGATACTGTATCATTGCTAGCTTTTGAGGTAGGGACGTTTATGGGAGCGTCCTTTCTAGTAGTAGTATGATTAGTGTTCAAACGAAAATTTTCTGAAATTAATGATGGAGGAATTAATGCTCTAACATTATTTTGAAATTCCACACAACTTTTCAGAGGCTCAAGTTTAAGATCAAGAACTAATTTTGCAGCTTGTTGATACATTTTCTCATTTTCATCTTTCATCTGTAAAGATTTTTCTAAAAGTGAAATCTCCAATTGAGACTGATTAAGTCTGCTACGCAGGAGCTGATCATTACGTTTCCAGGCATTAATGTCACCATCATTCCGTGATGATATAACAGGTATAGGTGTATTAGTAGAGCTAGCAGAGCTAGTAGAACTAATAGAATTAACAGAACTAGCAGAACTAGTAGACGTGCATTGTGCCTTTTGGAATTGGCTGAGAACACTATCACTTTGATGGGATAAATCTTGAATTAACGCACACATAGTTGACAATTTATCATAGTCCTTTTGATTAAATACGGATCCGTCCTGAATAAATTTTGTCCAAAACGTTTTCAACATTTCATTTTCATGTTTCAGAGATTCGTTCTCTCGTTTTAAGGATTCATCAGTCTTCATATTACTAATAGTATTTTTCAATTGATCGCATTCTTCAGATTTTTCAGCCAATGCCTTTTGCACTTTTGAAAGCTCTTCCGTTTGTTTTTCAATAGTTTTTCTTTGTTCATCTAATTGCAAATTCATATTCCGCTGTTCTGAAGCACTCTGTATATAAAATTAGAAATTTTCAAATAAATATGATAGTTGAACGTAAATTTATGAAAGAAATTATAAATAAAAAAATCATACTTACATTTCCTTCCTGATAAGATGGAATATTAGTTTTATTTCGAAAGGTTGATGCAGTATTATAATTTGTAGTATTTGTTGTAACTACAGGGTTTTCTAACTGCAAATTACTTACGCCTACACCTAATGGATTTGCCTGTGATATACCTAACGACTTATGAGCTGTCGACGTTGTATTCAATGTGTTTCTTGATAGTTGTCCATAATCAGCTAATGAGGTTGAACTTTGACCATCTTTTACCTTATGATTGTCATCCGGTAAAATTGGATTTGGATATAAATCACTATTTGGTCTAATTGTTCTGTTTTGAACAGAACGTATATTTGCATTATTGTTCATTGGTCTTATAATGGGAATATGATTAGTGGAAGTTGGTGGTTTTGGCAAAATTGGAGGATTTGATGAATTAACAGTT